AAAACCTCCCATCCTCTCATCTTTCCTACTTCTTTCACTGTCCTTTTCTCTCTGTCCAGCAAAGGGCCAAATTTTTCTCTCCGACGCAACACCAAGGACTCACAAAGACACATTGTGTAAAAAAAGAAAGACATATTCAGTGTCTCCTCCACACTCTGCCCTCTCCATACAAGCACACAACATATCCAGTGCAAGCTCTGGTTTCAATGGGAGAGGCCTGACTCAGTCAACAGTAGCAATAAAAACTTGATCAGATTGCTCTCGGCGGTGCAGAGATTTTGGCGTGCAGTCGCTGACAGTTTTTACTTGGAAGCTGGATCTGTCTCCACAACACAGCAGGATTATTGTCAGTTGTTTTGGAGAAAAGTACTAGTGGGCGTCCATGCTGAGAGTCGATTATAGCTATTCCCAAAAAAGAACACCCATTCAATGACAATACAGAAGACTAGCAATGTAATATTATTCATTTGCAGCTGTGCTGAGCTGATATCTCTTCCAAATGCCCCAAAATGTTCTTAGTGACATGGATTTTTCCCTTTTTGGTTCTCACGGTCCAAATGAGGCACGTCTTTTAAATAAATACCGCCATCTAGTGGCTGCAGAGCAGCTCTACATCATCTTTGATGCTTGTAAAAAGCAGGTTTGTGCAACAGTTAGGAATGTCGACAAACTGGTTTCATCTGTGTTGTGAGCGCATGCAGAGGCTGTAGGCTGCAGACACATGCGCACAAATGCATAAATCAGCGTTATGTACACATAAATCAAAGTAAGTCACCGAGGTGCAAGCACCAACAAGGGCACTCCTGCATGAAGTGATAGAGATAACAAACACAGGAAAAGGCATCTATTTAATAGAGAAGACAAGACCTTTCTGACATGAATAGTCTGTGGGACAAATCTGTCAAACTGTTTCCCACAGTGTGGACACAGAAACTGAGTACTGGCTCCCTCTAGCGGATGGAACATTAACATCTGGTGGAGAACATGAACTAATTCTGGACTTTTTTTAAGGGTAAGTAAAAATAAGATGAAAACAATATGAATCTACATTTTATTCCTGCAGACTAACAAACACATTTTTATTTTAATTACCCGAGTAAATAATAAAATAACAGCTTCTATTTTATTTAATTTATATCCTAAAAGCTGTCCAAACCTACCTGGCCTCAATAAATGGTTATGCCATTTATACATCTTTTTAGATTTTGCCAGTCTTTTTTTCAGATTTTTATTTTACTTTAGCTATATTGTAAGGTTTTAGGCATGGACGACCTGCCTTAGAACTCACCACAACTTCAGAGGCAAGTTCAGACTTTTCTGCTAATGTAGAAATAAATAAATAAATATAGTAGTAATAGTATAATATACATACTATATATATATATATATATATATATATATATATATATATATATATATATATATATATATATATATATATATATATATATATATATATATATATATATATATATATATATATATATATATATATATATATATATATATATATATATATATATATATATATATATATATATATGTGTGTGTGTGTGTGTGTATGTGTGGCCAGTCATTTAGGTCCTATATAAACAAAAATGTCCCAGACCATCATACCCTCATGTGATGAAATGCTTTGTTAGTTTTTTTTTTACCAGCAGTAACATGGCCCTACGATAATTTCACTTCTGTCTCCTCAGCTTTTGATAATCAAACTGTTTTTGGCTATACAACACAGGCCTTTGTGCTCCGATAGTTAGTAGTAGTTGGTGAAATTGGGACTACAGCATTTAAGAAAAGAACTACAAAAAAGCAGAGCTACCTAAATGTAAATAAAGACTGGGGCTCTCCGTTATAAAACCCTAAACATGTGAAGGTACATTTGCATGTGTCACATAGAGTACATTCGAAGAAATAATGGGTTTTTGCTGAACTCTGTAAGGTGGCAGTTTTGTCACACAAAGGATTGTGGGACCTCCTTGGGGCGGCTAGGAATGTCAGCAGGTCCCTATGCTAGATAATTGGGCACTAGGAAGCATACCGCTCCCTAGTCCTAGCTCCTTCCTTACTGCCAGCACTATTCAGAAGGCACTTATTATGGCATGCCCTGAAGCACTTCCATCATGGCTTAAGTGTCCTTACTGATTTAAAGTATTCCAATTAAGCCATTATTTCTTCTTGAACTGGGTGTGACAAATGCAGGTATGCAGCTACACAGCTGCATACCTGCATGCTGGTTTTACAGAGAGCTTAAGTTGTTTGCTAGATTATCAAAGTTTAGTATTTTTTGTCCTTTTTTGAAAGAACATCAATGGAAGAACAATCATTTCTGTTACGTAATCATGTCTGACATCCAGAAGGGTATATGCCAGAGGGATTCAGCACAACTGTTCAGAGCTGCTTTCTAGCCACCACAGTGTCCCAACTGTTCCAACGAAAGGTCAATAAATAGTAGCCAGGAACAAGAGGTAGGGGCTAAACTTTGCTGTAATCAGATGGCAGGTTTATTCAAGTGGCTGCTAAAATATATGACATCATTAGGAGATTGTGACCTTCTTCATTGGATATTAAAGGACAGAATGTTGCTGTTTGCATTCACTGCAACTAATGATGTTTGGAAAGACCCTGGAAAATATTTTGTGTGATGCTTCTGAGACTTATATTACTAATATGCTGAGCTCAGTTACTGCTGCCTGCTAATGAGCTACATAATTCTTTTCTTGTAATTATTCCTCACTTTTCATGTTGAAGGCACCATTGGGTGCACATCAACTGACAGAATGAACTGGGATGTTCATAATAAATATTTCCCCTGAGCGTGCAGGTTAAATGGGCTATGGGGCATAAAGGTTAAGGGTAGCTTTGTAGGAAAAATCCTTAACCTTTTTACAATAGCAAATGATTGCATGTAAACATTTTATTTTCTGCACCATTGGAGTCTTTTGATGGGTTTTCTCAAGATATTTAGGCCAAATAAGGCACCAAGACACACGTTTCATCTCTTCCTTTATTCTTACTCTGCCATCTGCAGAGGATTGTCTCTCATTCAAATATGCTGCTAAAAATGTTCCAAGTGACAAAGAGAAATGTATGATATTGCAGTATGTTAGTTGAGTATATTTTGCAGAAACATGGATGAAAAACTACGAGCGTGCTGGCCTGTGTGTGTATGCTTACTCAACTGTAAGTTTCAGACACCCCAACTGAATAATTCAGGTTTCATGTCTTGTTGCCATGGCTGTCTGTGAAATTTGCCTTGTAGGACATACATGTTCACCCCACCCCCACCACACACAATAATATGAGAAAGTTTACAGATGTGAACACCCCCAGCTGAAATACACACAGACCAATGAGAGAAAGAAGTGAGAGACAGCGGTTGCGATTCACTCTCTCACCGTCTCCACCTCCTCCCTGGCTCCTGTTGTTGTTCAAACTTTAATCAGCTCATCCATGCTGGAGGCTTCCCCGCTGTTGCAACACAATGGGCCCAGTGTGAAGAACAGCAACGTGTTTCCCCTTTTAACACCTTATCACTGCAGTCATGGCTTGCTCATGAATCAGAGTTTAATTTCAAAACCAACTCTGAGGCAGGAAAATCCAGTTGTTCTCACTGATTCTTTAACTGTTGCTCATATTGTAATCTTAGGAGAGAGAGAAAGGTTACTTAATACTTTGGAAACATGAAGTACTTGGTCTTAAATTCAAGTCAAGTATGAGATGAAGATGTGAAACTTTAACATACAGCTCACACATTCTTGATTTGGCATGCTATCATATGGAGGTAAGCTGGGCCCATAAAGTTTTTTTTTTCTACCAGCTTTTATTGCCACAAGTACAGAGCAATGAAATGAACTCTCTGCATTTAACGCATCCCCTTGGGGAGCAGTGGGCTGCCACTGTGCGGCACCCAGTGAGCAGTGTGGGGTCTTAGCTATGCAAGCCCTCTTTAAAAAAATCTTGTAGGGCGTATTCATCAGGGTACATCTGGGCTGTAGTTACTCTGTTTAACCCATGTCATGTATTTTATTTAGGGCTGAAACAATTAATTGGTTTAATCAATTACTGAAACATTGTCAACAAATTTAGCAATCGATTGATAGTTAACTGGAGTATAGAGACCTAAAACATGTTTTAGCCCACAGAGCGACCCACTTAGAGCAGGAATTATACCAAAATTGTAAAAATAAATTATAAACATTTTGCATTTTAGATAAAACATATTTTCATCTGTCAATATTCTCCATCCAGAACTCCTCTACTGCTGCATCAGCGCTGTATTGTAAATTATAAACATGTTATTCACATCTAATTGTTGGTAGGGACAAGTAGGTCGGTCCAAAATGTTGGTAGGGACATGTCGCTATGGTCCCTATACTTTAATAATCCCAGGGCGAAATTGCTTTCGTTACATCACTTTATATGTATAGAGTGACTATAGGGCCAGTTTGATGTAACACAATTTCATACAATATATTTAATTAGGGGGTCCCCGCTCCATCTCCCCGTCAGTTTGGGGGTCCTTGACCTGGAAAACGTTGAAGACCCCTGCTTTAAGTCATTTCTTCAGTTTTGTAGCCATTTAAAGCTTTGATTTAAATTAACTCCAATTCCAATCTTGCTCTTTTGGGGGGAATGTTGTCCTAGTGGTTAGAGCAGTACTCTTGTGCTCTGAGAAGGTTGCAAGTACCCGGGTTTGATCCCCACTCTGGGTCCCTGAGCAAGACCCTTAACCCCACACTGCTCCCTGGGCGCCGCATAATGGCAGCCCACTGCTTCCCAAGGGGATGGGTTAAATGCAGAGAGTGAATTTCATTGCTTTTTACTTCTGACAATGTAATGAAAAAGTTTCATTCTATTCCATTGCCTATTTTTTGGAAGCTTCAACTCACTCTGCTGAGAAAGACTCAGTGAACGACTTTAACACAATCCGGCTCTTTATAGATCTGATCCAAATGAGCCGGATCCCGGAAAAGGATGCGGAAAGCCCACAGCGCTGCTCTCCCAGGGCCAGCGAAGAGGGATTCGTCTTTGTACTCAAGCAGAGTAGTTGAAGTCAGCTCTGTCTCCACTGCCTTCCTTTTTTTTTTTTAAAGAAGCAGGGAGTCTAAATGCTGGAAATATCCCTATAAGCCGGTTACTAGTCCACTTTAACCACAGTAGACGGTCTGTTGTATTGTTTTGTGCAAGCGGACATCCCTTGTTATATCTTTTTGAGCCCTTTTGGACGACAAAAGATTTCCTTTTTTTCCCCTTACCGGGTGGATTTTTAAGTCATACAGAGAAAATTCATACAGTTGCAACACATCCCTCTCGTTTTTTCTCCTTTTTTATATTTCCACACCTCCATACAGGGGGGTGGGGGGTCTATTTTTTAAAGTCATCCTTTAACCGAGCGACAATGGCAGCTGTAACGAGCCCGGAGACCAGCCCTCAACCGCGGGTATATTTCCAGACGCCGACCGGCACCACGGAGGAACCGGAGCCCCCAGTCAGGAAGCAGGGACGGGTTACCGTCAAATACGACCGCAAGGAGCTGAGGAAGAGACTGAACCTGGAGGAGTGGATCATCGACCAGCTAACGGACCTCTACGACTGCGAGGTAAAACAAGAACCGAACAGAACCCATCGATCAGACCCCCCTGCTGTACTAACTATTAATCAATACCGATTTAAACCCGATACCGAACCAACGGTCCACTAAGAAACCCGATTAAGACGTTACTCGTTTATTTTGGCCTGGCTTTGTTCACTTCTCAGCTCAAAATGGGGAAAAACCGGGGAGATATGTCTGTTTTCATGTCACAAGAGACAACAAACTCTAAACAAGTAATTCATAATTGTATTTAGGTATATTTATTTTTGGTTGTCAGGAGAATTGGCTTCAAGCTTCTCATCCTGTCTCCTACAGGTTGGCTAAATGTGGCACATGGTGCTTTATAGCCTCGTGGTGAAGCTGGCAGCATGGCTCTTTGTTCTGATTGGCTGACACAGGTTTAAAGCACACCTGTTAATTTTTTGAAATTAGTAGATTTTGTTAGTCTGTTCTAAATATTCTGTTGTGAGAAGGGAATTAGTTAGTCGATTCCAAGAAAATAAATTAATTAAATATACAAGATATTTTGGACAAACTTTCTACTTCTAAATGTTTTTATGTATTTAATGAATTACCTTAGGAAAACGAAACTGATTACAAGAATCTAAGATTTATTAACTTAATTATTATAATTTTATTTATTTATTTTCTTTTTGTTTTGTGGGAGAATGTATATATAGCATCCCGATCCACACTCCATTCCAGTAGATGGCAGTAATGCACATCAATAAGTTACTCGCCAACCGCCATTAGAAAAGAAGAATAGCTGCAGATTTTCTCACCCTTTTCTTATCTTATTTTTCCTAGCTCTCATTTACATTTTTTATTTTTAACTTTATAGTATTTTAATGTAGTCTTAACTTTTAAAGCAAATACCACGTCAAAGGAAAAGGTTGTTTGTTTGGGTTTTTCATTGCAGAATTTTCTTTTCTTCTTTTTTATGCTTTTCAGTTTATTCTGTATCATCCATCCCTATTTCCCTATTTCTTTCTTCTCTGGGACAGAGTGGGCACAGGCAAGTGAGATTAACCTTTTTACAGGCTATTGTAGTACATAGAAACACCCAAAAATTGAGGAGTATCTTTTATGCATATTGCAGACTTAAGTTAATATGATAAAGCATCATATTTAGTATTTATTTAGAGTGAGTGATGCTACGTTGACAGAGAACTGAGGTTTTTTTTCCATCATAGAGAAGCTGTAAGATCACAATTTTAAGACTGAATCTCAGCTGGGCTCCCTGATCAAGACCGCATTCCTCCGACCTGTCTCTCCCTAACTGTTAGCCACAGCTAAAGGTGAGTCCTAACAATGAGTTGGACGGGTGCGTCTGATGATAGGGGTCTGGTTCAGTGACTCTGGTCCCTCCAGCTGAAATGTTAACTGGACATATAACCATCAGGAGCATCCTCCTTCATGCTTCACCTCATCAGACCCTCGGTCACAGCGACACTTGAAGATCCGTGCAATTGTTGTGATGTAGCCCGGAGGGGGTGGCTGTGTGGCGTATAATGCTGCCGTCAGTAGTTGGTAAGCTCGTCTCCTGTCCACTGAGCTGGCATTGACCCACATTCTATTCCCGGTGCTGGGGAGAAGGAAGATTTAGAAGGGCTCAAGAATCCCTATGAGTAATTCATGGAAGTAAAGGATGGGCCAGAGTTTTACAGACCTAAGACCAGGTTCTATGGTGACGCTGGTGTTACACTAAGAAATGGTCGATACTCGTCTCTTTGGTCCTCTAGCTTGTTTAACACTTAGTATCGCTTCTCTAAATTAGTTTTGGGGTCAAAGGTCGACAATTGGTGCATTCACAGTGCTTTCCTGGTCCAGAGATCAGTAAAGAAAATGAACACTTTTCTTTCACTCTTAAGGCTGATTTATACTTCGAAACAAGGATGTCTGCGTAGGAGTCGTGGTGAACGCAGAGACGTCCCCGCCCCTGCCGCAGACACTCTGTTGCACCTCTCCCAAATTGTAGGTGACTGCAGACAGGAGGCCTCTGATTGGTCAAATCTGCATTTACTCTACTATCATTAATATACACAGCAACACCATTTAACTTATTTAGTTCCTTCAGTTCTATGTTGCTATGTATGGTATTGGGCGATTTGCTCAGCCTAGTTTGGGTTTGAAAAACAGGATCTCTATAGGCAAGTCATAAAAATCCAATAAATATATTTCAAGGTACCAAAACAAAAACACCTAAACACCCCCTGTGTCTGACATGAACATGCTAAAGGTAAATGAAGGACTGGCTTCTAAAGGTAATCCTCTAATTAGCGACGGCCGAACTGTCTGCTTGCGATGTCAGTGAACCCAGTTCTGTTGTCTGCGATGCCTTTTGATTCTCCAGACGACGTCCATCCCGTCTCTGAAGGACCTCTCTGTGTAGACTGGACATGTCCTGTGAAATGACACCGCTGACAGAAAGCCAGCAGAGGGGATTAATGGGACCTTAAGAGGATCAACATGCTTTGATTTTTCTGCCAATGTTGGGTTAATATGATCATCTACAGACGCTCTATTGTTACACAAAAATGCACATTTTGGCAGCTGAACTGTTTAATCTGCTCAATCATGGATGTTTTAATGCACAGAAAATCTGTGTGGTTATTCAAGCCTTAAACAGGTGTAGAGGGCTAAAAAAAAGGTTCACAAAAGCACCATGTCATCTCATACTAGCAGTTATGCAACAATATTGTTATATTTTATACCTTCTCACATTCCCAATTCGCTGCCTATTTTTGCCGTCCATCCCCTGTGGTTTCCCCCTCTTCATTGTCCTGATCTAGTCTGTGCCGAGGCTGTTAGACAACAAAGAGATTAATTTACAGTCGGTTCACTGATGGAGACACACTGGGCTCAGCTAGAGTGGGAGATGTGAAGCACGTGCAACCCAACATTGTAACTGAAGAGGCATGTTTAGCAGGTCAGAGGCACCCTGGTTTTATTTTAAACAAAAACTCACTTTTTCACTTTACTCTTATCCTTATTATGAGCTTATTAATCAAAGTATGTTTTCTAATATTATTTTAATTGAATATACTACAATAAGACTGTTAAAATATACTCCAATGTGTTCAGAAGGGAATTAATTTGGTGCTATTTAACATTCATATAATCATAGCAAAGATGCTGCAAGCAGCCAGCCGGGTGGTTCCTGCCAGCCAGCTCGTCAGCTACTCATCCAGCCACTCAGCCAGAGTTGCTATGGGTATTTAGTGAGGAATCACAGCATAAATCCATGGCAACAAGGCTTGCTAAATGCTTGCACTGGTTAACCGGGCTTTAAAGAGTACAACCTGCTTCTGGTTAGCTAAGGAAAACCTGGTAAGGTTCAAACATGTGCAAAAATGAAGCTCCAGGTTTTTATTGATGCAGTGTTATAATTAGCTAATCTGTAAAGGAGAGTGTTGAAAAATCCAGCAGAGATCTACTCCAAAAGAGTTGTAGCGGTAATTGCAGCAAAAACAAGCATGCCTAAAAAAAAATGTTTGCTCAAGTTTATTGGATGTTTTTGCTGCAAACAGTTTAACTTTTGAGGGATGAATCTGGATGTCAGCACATGCATCACTAAAATCTTCAGCAGGAACAACCAAGCTCAGACAGACTGGATAAAGAGTGTCTGTAGATATGAGTTTTAAAGTTTGACCAAAGAATTTGTAGTGGATCTAGGTCTGGACTTTGGACATTCTAAGGCATAAATATACAATGAACTGCTAAACCAAAGCTGTTTGTTTATGGCTGTTCATGTTTAAGGGCGGATTATGTTTCTGCAGGTGCACACATCAAATCTCGCTTGCGTCTGGTCGCGAACCAGTTTTGTTGGTATGCTTCTGCAATGGCAGTCTGGAATTTCTAGGGACGCACAGCGGTTTCCCGCCAAAGAGCAAGGGGGAGCCTAATTGAGAACTTGCGAGAACTTCGGCGAATTGTCACAAAAACTTCTTCGGCGGCGCCGGTGGGAGTGTTTATTTTCTAAATCAATAATGGCGAGTCTGGAAGATATCACGGTCACAGAGATGGATCTAGAGTTGCTAAACAGGTTCTGTTAACAGAGTTGGCAAAAAGACAAAGGAGGACCATTGTTGTTACTCCTCGGCTTTTAAAAATGGCGCACCCCGGAACCAAATCGAGAAGGACGACCACACAGACAGCCGGAAAGGTATACCAAGGACCAATCACAGCTCCTTTTTGTCTGCGCACCTCCGGTTGAGGTCTACGCGGTTTTGCAACTGTCCGACACCCGGTCAGGATTTTTTTGAGGTGCGCGACGACGGTTGCAGAACCTCTGTACAGAGACAGATTTGACGGTTGCAGAGGCTATGCGTCAGAAGCATAAATTGGCCTCTAGGTTGTGCTGCTGGAATGTAATCCCCTACCGCTGTCCCACTTGTTTTTATTTTCTAAACTCTAACAGTAAAGAAATCCCCACAGCATGATTCTGCCACCAATATGTCTCTTCATGGGGTCAAGGTTGATTCTATAGACAAAAACATGCAGAGGAAAGTGCGTTATCTTAGCAGAACACCTTCCTCTGTTTAGTAAGGTGCCTTTAGAAGGTGGTTGTTTGCCTAGGATTAAATCTTACAGTTACTGGAGATTAATACAACTAAATATCACACTTCCAGGTCTTTAGGTTGCATACAATGTCTAAACTGTGTATGATTTTTACATTCACGCCACAGTTGCACTGCTATCACATAAAAAATCCTGATATAACTGGATTTGTGGTGTAACTTAATGTTTCAGAGGGGATGGAAGGTACCGTGAGAACCTGTTTGGACCTTCGTTCCAGGTGCTGTTTATGAAGAGGTGCCTCAGGCTATCTGATAGGTCTGTTATGGTTTTGTGGAGTGGGAACAGCTGCAGCAGAGCACCCAAAACCCACATTCCCCAATCTCTTTGTTTATTTTTAAACTCAGATACGTTAGCTTGAAACCAGAAACCCTGAGCTAGCAGATAACAGGCTGGCAGGACTTCTTTACACTCCGCTGGTTCATAAA